CATCTGTCTCTCTCCTACTTGAGTGAGCGATGCGTCCACGTGGACAGCTGCTATACAATAATACATTTCCATTTACCTCCTTCTCTATATCCATACAAAATATCTATCAAACAAATAAAATTAAAATTTTCTTTTGAAAAATGAAACCATTCCATCAGTATTTTCTTATGACGTTGTCACGTTCAACTATCGTCAGTAAACCGACTTTACAGACAACCGATTTTTTTCTTGCATTTACAAAATTAATAATAACTTAAATTACTTTTTAAAAAAAGTTTGCTCTTTGTGTAGTTTGTGGTCAAGTCAAGGAATTTTCGTACTTTAATGCTCAATAATGACAGTGAGTAAGTACGTTATAGGCGTATACATTATAAGCAATTAAACTTTACATTATTATGTTTTCGAACGATAATATGAGAAGCTGTCGACTAAAGTACCGACGCAGTCCGCCGTCGCGACGTCGACGCATGAATTCTACAGGTTTGTTTTTCATGCCGCTCTGCTTTGGTTTTCGTGCGTCCGCCAACTTCGACCGTTTCATTTGTTAAAACAACTGCACACTACGATATCTTAATACGTACACACGGGAATCATCATCAGTTTGTTATACCTATCATGTGTTGCAAAAAAGTGAATAATAATTCAACTGTCGGTTCGATTACAATCGAAATTGCCTTCAACATCTCCGGCTGCTGGTTGAAAACCTCTTGAAATAATTTCGTTGGTTCGTGTCTGTCGTGTCCTCGACTTCAACATTTCACACACATTCAATAAGCTATTTTCATCGTTGTCGGAAAAATAGGTGAGAAGATACGCTTGCGTGATTAGTGTCATTGATTAGAGTTCAAGAACGCAATTTTCGTCTGTCATCGGCGCTATTTTGTTTTACGTGATGCGTATGTATGTATTTTTGTATGTGCATTGTTTTTACTCCGCCGAATAAAAAAGCTGTTTTATCTAGTGGGCGTGTGTGTCAACTACAGTGTTACACTTCACTTACAATTAAACACACACAGACCTTCTGAAACACGTAGTTTTAGGAACATTCTAGAGATGATGTAAATCAAAAATTGAGATTTTTAATGGTTTTGCTGATTTAAATTGTAAACAATTCCAAAGCTTTCGGTTTGAGGCGTGAAAACTTCAATTTCTCCTTTTGTTTTTTTTAAATCTAAGCATTTGACGACTCGGGATAAACAAATTAACATTTAAGCAACAAAATGACCGATCAGATTCTACATCATTCGATTTAGAAATGAAAAAGTTCATCGTAATGTCTTAAAAATATGAAAAACTTATTTTTCCGATAAACAAACAATTTTTAACCGTTCTTTGTCATTTTTTGCAATAAGTGTTCAGCGAAATTGAACCTTTCAGGGTTCAAATTAAAGATTTTGAATTGTCTATAACTTTTATGTAAAGTCTCTTCCAATGGAACCATGATGTTCGGCCATAGAAAGAAAAAAATAGATATCTTTTTTCTAAAAAAAAATAGTCAAAAATCACGAGTAACATTCATATGGGGATGTCTGTCTTCACCCCCCTTTAAAACGTAGTCATAGGTCCCAAGTATACTTAAATTAAAGAGGGTTTTTCCTTACAACCTTTTTGCAACACTGAAACTTCGTTAAAGGTCTAGATGATGACCCCCCCCACTCCCGAAGAGGGTGGGATGGGGAAGGGTCGAAAGAGGAGGTCTCCCCCACCACTGTACCATAAAAAGTTCGTGGCAGTCTCACCCCCGAAGCTAAAAACCTAACCTAAAAAAATTACCAAAAGTCACTAGTCGCACTTATTGGGGTATACCTCCCTTAATTGCCCTTTACAACGTAGTGTAGATCCCAAAAAGTATTATAAAGAGGGTTTTCCCCACAATCTCCACTATAATGTTCACTTCCAAAATTGGCGAAACGTATGTCCACTGAAAATTTTTTATGATCCATACATGCGATCTATAAGTAGATACCTATACAGCACAAGATCATTCACCTATTTAACACAAATTTTCCACTCGAAATTTCTCTTTATAAACATATATCTCTGTAAAATTGCTTGGCTCTAAATTGTACTAAAATTTTTTGTTTTAAAAAGTTTCCGTCTCGGTCTAGACTCAAAAGAATGGTTTAAAGTTATAAAGTACTATAAATGGATTGTACATAGTACATACGTTAGCCATATATAGATTTACATAAAGTACATTTTTATACGCATATATACATGTGCATTTATGTAACTATTCCAAATTAATTTTTTTTACAGCATACTAAACTGCCACTCGCAATTGCTGTGAATATATTTTCATCTGTGTGTCTATTGGAAAATTTATTTTCACGTTTTCGCAGTTGTAGAAGCTCATTCGGTTCGTTTATGTCTTGAACGGTGAATAAAATGATGCTTCTACTAAAATTTTAAGAAAATGTATTCATAAAATTTTCTAAGTAAAAATAAAATTGTGAAAAATAGTGGCAGTGGTGTAAATAATTACATGCAAAAAGTAAGTGAAAGGCTTTGTTATAGATCGAGAAGTTTTTTTACAAGTTTTTCATCATCATTGTAAAACTTTTAAGAGAAACAAACTAACAATATTATCAAAACCAATTGTGTCAAATATGTCCAGTTAATTCTAGAAAATTTTATTTGATTCTAGCAGAAAAAAAAAACTACATAGGACCGAATGTATGTAATAATTCAAAGGATAACAGTTGTAACCAAGATCAATTTTTACGATTGCAAGTACATGCATACATTATTTTGTTATACACAAATAATTTTTACTTTAAAATAGCATCATTTATTTTACAACCCAATAAAAGTTTATTTAATCATCATACTATAAATCAACAAACTTCATTAACTGTCTATTTTTAAGAATTTTAAACTTAATGTCCTCGAAAATCGATTTGGATTAATTTAATCATAAAATGAAAATACTTGGAAGATTTCGCGTCTTAACGTACAATTAACCAACTTCGCAGTAAAATATAAATGTAGGCATGAGATAAGCGAAAAGATGTTAAATTTTAAACGCACAAACCGTATTATTTATAGTAACAATTAAAAAAAAATCACATGTACGTACATACCTATATACATGCATGTATCACGTCATCGTTTAGGAGTAAATATACTGCGTGATATCTACAGATATCAAGAGATTAGTGTTAAATATTTTGTATTAACATTTTTTCCAATTTTGTTTAAACCAAAACTCAAACAAATCAGGTGGTGCCTGGTAGTATAACGTTTTTAATTGTATGTCATAGTGTGAATTTGATTTGACAGAAACAGAAATAGTTTTAAAATCAATTTTACGTATAAATATTTGATGTTACAAACTAATTTTGTATAGGTACCTAGTCAATCAGTGCTGATGAATTAAGAACTTAAAATTAGTTTGTCTTAGTGATTTTTACGAAAACCTTCTACATAGATAGATTTTGTTAATCGATAGGTATTTATTTTAATTCGTTTTTTTTTACGTATCTTTTTGGTCAATATTTTTTCTTTTTTGCTTTGGATTACAACTAAAAATTAATTTTAAAATCATAAGGAAAAAGTCAATCTTCAAATCTTGCTAATTATTGTTAAAAAACTTCATCAAAATGTTTTTAATTTCGTCCATTTTTCTTTTATTGACGAAACTATAACCACCAACGGGAATCTCAAATTAATTCATTTATCTATTTAGTTTGACAAAGCTGATTCTAACTGATACAAATTGTACTAACGTAAGACCCAGTAGCGAGTGATAATAAGAACTAACTGTAACCGTACTGGTGTAACCAACTTCCTGGTTAGATTTTAATCTAGTTGGCTCGCAATGATCTCATACAAAGACATGGTCAGGGTTCTTATCAACATCGCAGGACAATAACCTCTAAAATTAAATGCAACAAATACCTTCTCATTTCTTTGGTAACAATTCCAACGTTAAATTAATAACAGTAACACTGCAAATTGCTACAATTTTTAATTTTATTCGCCAATACCCCCAACAAAACTTTCAATAAAGGGTATCTATGCTATTTAGGCTACACCAGGTATATTTTAATTCTAATTTTCCTTTCTACTCTTGCTATTTGTACTGTCAACGAAGATAAAAGAACATTGAACCTGAACAATTACAGCAATTTGTCAAAAACAAGGCTTTGTTATTAAAGCGTAACCATTACATCGTCTTATCGTTTGTCAATTGTAATGTCGCCATATTGTTTCAGATTGTAACGTAGAGCGGCCATTTTCAAATCAAAATGGAAGTTGGGTAAGTCGCCATATTGAATTTTACGTCATCATTCGTAAATATATTCCTTTGTTTTCCAGAGCGAGTTGTTACAGCTTAGCGGCAACCGAGTGAGTATGAACAAATATGTTAAATATGTATAAAATGCTACGCATTTGTTTATATAATTAATAGGACTGCCGAACAAAGAAGAAAAGATGAAAAAGTAACGGAAATTATTACCAGCTGTACCTCGCTTACTCAGTATGAGCAAAAAGCATCTTTTCATGCCTACTTTCCTCAGGTAAGCATGAACCAAAATTAATGTCCAACAATATACAGGGTGTAACAGAAATAAATGCCGAGCTTGCTGGAGGTGATGGAGCACTATAATAAAACATGAAAATGAAGTAAATGTTTATGTCCGAAAATTCAGTTTTCGAGGAAAACGTAATTGAGTGTGCAGATGAATTCAATTCCGGTCCTGGTGAAGATATACGCCCCGCAACGCTGTACTAAATGTTTTTTCTTTTTGTGTTTGTACATTTACTGCCTGTAATGCTCTTATTTAATTCATTTGGTCAAAATATCATGAATAATGAAATAAATTACTTATGTTTATCTTAGTCTTTTGATAATCGGCAATGTTTTCATTTAACTGCATGGTTTTTATCGTACTACGCTAACTGGTAGACCGTATGTTGTCAATTCACGCACAGGACCGGCTTCGGATTGTAAATTATTGTAATTTTCTTAAAATTTTGACCTTAACCCCCTGCTGAATTCATCATACGATTGTTTATTGCATCTAGTTTACATCCTCCAAGGCTCGGCACTTATCTATGTTACAATCTTTATATATATATCGTATAAGAATATTACATACTGAATACATATAAATTGAGGTTTTATAATGTTTTAAAAGTAGAACTTGTTCTGTTTGTTAAATTAGGTTAGGTAACCATTAGAAAAAGCGCACAGCTTACCACAATGAATGAAACAATGTTCTTCTTAGCCGCCATGTCAGACAAAGGTAAAAGTATAAATTTGTGAGAAGATAGAGATGCCCCAGTTGCAGATTGCTAGTCAAAAAATCGAGAACATCCTAACATTAATTTAATGTTGCCACCACCGCAAGAGGATGTCCTAAAACTGTTTCTTTCTTATAGTTTGCCGAAAATTAAAACATCAATGACTTCGTTCTCGATTTTTCTGGCTTGACCCAATACTTTCTAAAAAAAAACTGAGAATATAAGAAGTTGCAATTTTTAGACATTTTAGAAGATGTAGCCGCACTATCCCCACCCCCAACCCTCCGACCTTCACATCAGTTTTTCTCAGATAAATGTGATTTTTTTAGATTTTGGCCGCCCTTCTGGCAGCTTCGTTTCACGTAGCTGCGGGAATGACTTTAGCTTATTCTGCAGTTCTAATACCTCAACTTGAAGATCCCAAAAGTGACCTTAAGGTCACGCCTGAAGAAAGCACCTGGATAGGTACGCAAAAATTTCCATTTGTAAATAAGTTTTAGGAATTTGAATTGTCATTAATTTGATTTAAAAATAAATTTCAAGGTGTCTTCAGTCATGAAATCTACCAACTAAATAGAATTTTCTTTCAGCAAGTTGTCTAATGCTTATAATGCCAATTGGTAATGTCAGCGGTGGTCTAATAATGGAAAAAATTGGTCGGCTAAATACCCTAAAATTAGCCGCCCTTCCTACATGTTTGGGCTACGTCTTGATAGCCACTGCTAAAAATATTCCCATGCTGCTAGTAGGGAGGCTACTTACTGGATTTTCAAGTGGTGAATATCCACTAGTGACAATAATTTCCAATATGTTAACAAACGGTGCATTTTCTTTTGAAATACACAATTTTTTTAGCATGGGGTGCTAATCCAGCTATGGTTTTCATAACTGAAATTGCAAGTCCCCAAGTTCGAGGAATTCTCATATCAATCGCCCAAACATTTGCTGCATTAGGTTGGCAAAAATTTAATATTTTCATAAATAATAAACCAATTTCAAAATTACGTTTATATCAGGCATGGTCCTGGCATATCTCTTTGGCTGGATCCTGGACTGGAGAATAGTAGCCTGGATAGCCAATACATTTCCAATTTTGGCCGGACTCTCCCTAATCATCGTTCCTGAGAGTCCAGCGTGGCTGGTTAGCAAAGATCGACAGGATGCAGCAAGGAAGTCTCTAGAGTGGTACTACAAAAACTTCCCCCAACCCGAAAACAGGGTTTGAAAAACTCATTGGCCCAAAAAACGTGTTCTTTATTACCAATGTTTTCAGAAGTCCACCCTGGCACAAATGCAACTGGACCTTTTAGTTAAGGACAACGAACAAAAGAAAGCGGAAAGGAAAAACGAAAAAGAAAGCACATTTAGAAAGTTCGTCCGGGGATTCGTGAAACCTACAGGATACAAACCATTCCTAATCATGTTTGGAATATTTTTTGTGCAACAATTCACTGGCATCTACATCACACTGTTTTACACAGTCAATTTTGTAGAGGTATCACCATTACTAGAATGCAATCAATAAAACTTGGTTCCACCAATAAAATTATGATAAAAAAAAATGTTGTAGGATATTGGGAGCGATATTAATCCGTATGGTCTGTCGGTTTTCATAGGCGTTATACGTTTTATAATGTCAGGTTTAGGGGCCATTACGATCAAAAAATGTACTAGACGAGGATTACTCATTTGGAGTACTTTAGGAATGGCAGTGTGCATTGGGATATCTGGTCTATTTACCTCCTTTATCACCAACGGTAGGTTACACCATTATCATTATCATCATAAGGTCATCAGTCCTAAGACTGGTTTGACACGTACCTCCACTCTTTGTTATCCTGAGCTAAACTTCGCATTTCCCTAAAACTAGAACATTNCTCTTCATTTCTAACCTCCTCTATCCACTGTATCCTCATCATTCGCCTGTAACACCACATTTCGAACTCTTCTAATCTTTTCTTTTCCAGGGCGCCCAGCGTCCATATTTCGCACCCGTACAGCACCGCGCTCCAAACATACACCTTTGACAATCTTTTTCGAATTTCTAAATTAATCGCGAGCATAGATGTGACTTCTTTTTAATCAAGGCGACTCGACCCTGTGCTATCCTCTGCTTTATATCCCTACTACTCCTTCCGTCCTGACTTATCTGACTTCCTAGATACCTAAAATCGACCACTTCTTCTAATCTTTCGTTTCCTATCTTTATTTTCGCTCTTTTCCTACTTTTCCTTCCCTTAAATACCAGTATTTTTGTTTTACTTCTATTTATTTTCATACAATACTGTTTTACCAATACAACATCGATTTTATTTAAAGCTGTCTGTAACTGCTGCTTCTCGAAAACTACGCCAAGAAAATTTTGCGCACACTTTTCGAGATCTGTACCAAAGTCCTAACAAAAACATTTCATGAAGACGATCATATGCTAATTCTGATTATCTATTTATTGATTACTTTAGGCAGTTGGAGCACGATTGGACCCATATCTGACATCCACAATATCGGGTTTCTTCAGGTTTTTCGTAACCATGGCATTGGTGGTTTTACTCAAAAAATTTCCGAGAAGGGGACTATTAATATCAAGCTCTTTGACCATGGCATTTTTCATGGGCATTTCCGGGCTCTTCACGTCACTAATTAAACAAGGTAATTTTATTTTCAAAATAATTCGACTCATTCAAACATTACGCTTTTGATGAAATTCAACTGTTTCACAAAAAAAAAGACGAACAACAAAACTCATTAGAATACCAGTTGAACCGGTTGTATCATCAGATGAGATAGCCACACCTAATTGCATTACACAACAACATATTTACGCTGAAGCAAAATTAGTAAAGGCTTTCTTGGCCTGATACTGCTCTAATTCGGATATAAACGCCATCATTGGTTATAGTGACTTCCTAACGTTTCGCTAGCATGAGTGGCCAGATTCATCAATAAGTTTTGAATACACCTATTTCAAATTAACAAAAAAAAAACCGAACTCGAAATATAAAAGTCATTGTTTATACCTTCATTTGTTTCTACAATTATAGGTAACACCACGTTTACTTGGGTCCCGGTGGTGTGCAACTTTTTATATTTTGGGGCTGCAGGTTTCGGCCTTTCGACCATTCCGTGGTCAATGACAGCCGAGGTCTATCCGTTAGAGATCAGAGGGATAGCCCACAGCTTCACGATGACCTCCGCCCATTTAGTAATGTTTTTGGTTATCAAAAGTTACTACGTTCTCGAAACGTTTTTCGGCGGGATTGTCGGTTTGCAATATTTTTTCGCAATCATTTCCGTTTGGGCCGCGGTTTACGTGTTCATATTCCTTCCCGAGACCAAAGACAAAAAACTATTGGAAATCGAAGAATACTTCAAACGACACACTGTCTACTTAGGCCAGAATATTATCAATTCGGAAGCACGAAAGAGCGCCCTGAAGGTGTCCGAACAGAAAACAAAATTCATTGAAAAGGTCTAGGACTTTCTTCTCATTCAGAATATTTATTATGCACCAGTGGATGAAATTATGGTATTCCCTCCCGCGAGGGAGTGTCATGCTTTCTTTTCGAGACCTGTATATGATTTTTTACCATATCTTTTCCCCGAAAGTAGGATTTTTCATGATTTTTAGGACGCTGAGGTACAACATAACCTCCCAAAGGGCATAATTATCCTTTTTTAATGAAAAATATCGTACTTTCAGCAGAGATATGGTAAAACATTATTAAATTATTAAGTACGCAATCAAAAAAATATACAGGGTGGCCAAATAATGCGATAATTCGGTGCTGACCCTTAGAAATAATGAGACACTTTGTCAAACACTTTTCAAAGATAAAAAAATCTAAGTAATTTAAGAAAATTCAAAACTATTAATTTTAATTAGAGGTAGTGTTTTAACTGTGATTTTAATTAATTTTAATCGATTAAGTGTACTTCACACCTACATGTATCTCTATATACACATATGTATGTGTGTGCGTGTGTGTGATTTAAAAAATAAATAGCAAAACGGATATTATAGAACGTAGAATATAGTTAGGGTAANATCATCATTGTAAAACTTTTAAGAGAAACAAACTAACAATATTATCAAAACCAATTGTGTCAAATATGTCCAGTTAATTCTAGAAAATTTTATTTGATTATGTCTGATATTTATTTACGCCAATTGTTACTGTTAATTTTCCACCCACGCGTTTAAAATAATTTAAATTTTATCGACTTACAAAACAGATGAAAATCGATTCTGGCTCGTACGTTCACGTATTTTTTCCAAACAACCGAGTGAATCTGGAACAAAACAGAGGGTTACGTTATAAAAAAGAGCTAATAAAAAACTTCAGTTAAAACAAAGTCCATACAACTATTTGTCTTTTTGTAATTTTTTAAGCCGCTGGATTGTCATAATAGAGAAATAAGGATAATAATTCACTATAACAGAACCTATTTTCCATTCTTCTATTCAGAATCTTTCGCTTTTAAATTTCAAAAACTCCCAAAATTTTTCTTGCTGGATAAATCAGAAAGCAAACCTTTTGACGTGACAACGTCTAATAATTCGATGGAGCCGACTGCACGCACGAAAAAACATTACTCATGCGGCGTTACCTCGCTCTGAGGCGTTCCATTTAAGGTNTACTTTAAATTAGCAAAAAAACGACCAATTAATCTTTACTGTGGCTAGATATAAGATACAACAGTTAAAATATATAGTAAAATTTACCGGTTATTTTAATTTCTTTTTTAAAAATATTCCCAATTCCTCACAAAGATGCAGTTTTGCTTGTTAGTCACTCTGATTGAAATTTAATATCAATTATAGTTACAACCTTCGATAAACGGTAATGTACACTCATGCACATTGCATTTCTTTTATAATTGTAAGCAAAAAACAAGTGCTTCTGTTGTGTACTGATAAATAATAAACTATTTACGTATAACTACCACCAGGTTTAATTAAAATGCATACATATGTAGGTAGGCATAGCAATGTAGGTATAAACGGTTTGTAAATTAAAATTTCCATGAACCTCCTACCTGCTATTCGCTAATTTACGTCTTCTAGTCATATTACCTACACATAATTAATACATTCATTAAACTCAAACTATAACTGTTATTACTCTTCCAGAAAATAGCGAAAATAAAAAAAATCCCGGGTAATTTGGCTCAAATGGCTTAAATTGTGGTAACTTCCGCGCGTCTTGCAAAAGCATTATTTTTTTCAAATTTTAGAAGTTAAAATACGCACTCCTACTTAAAACAGAACAGCGATGAACAGGAAACCAACGATAAGACCGAAGATACCATTTCCGATGCTGCTTGTGACGTATTCCGAAATATCTCAATCTCAAATTCCAAAAAAAAAATCAGTCAAATAAAAGGACAAAATAACCAAGAAAATAGTTACCTTCGACTCTATTATCGTTAAATAGTTAAAAAGATCCTATCGTGGAAAACACCAACTGTTTTTTTTTTTTAGATTTTCACTATGCATATGCTTTTATCATGTTATCAGTCGAATGAAAACAAAGGAAAGAAAATGTAATATTTCACAGTTGTGCTCATATTTAAAAACAACTTGTTTGTTTACAAATCTCACTTTTAGTAAGGTATCGACTTAAATCATTATTTTGAAATCAGACGGCAATATTTTTTTGATTTATTAGTTCTTATAATATCTAGTCTGCCGTAAAGGAGTATCAATCATTTGTATTTCAATCAGTAGTTTATAAATAATTGTAAACGGTATCTCACTATGGTGTAAAATTGTTTCATAGGCAGGAATGCGAGTTTCTTACGTTGAAAGTAATATTAAGAATGAATGACGTGTTTATTAGCTAGATAGTACTTACTATTAGATCAAAATATAATAAAGCTATTAATAAAAGTTTGGTACAAAAAACACTTAATCACTTTTTCATCAAATTAAACAGCTCAATTGTTATACTTCCTTTGTGTATTATTGCATTCCATCATCATCTCTCCTAAGTAGGGAACTGTATTACCTACAGGTGTGAGTATCTATTACACGTGCGATATCAATCTAGGCATTATTGACAACAAGATTTGATGTTGATTCTATTTCGATATCAGGTGCTACAGCCTACACGGACCAAGTAATTTCTTTTAATATCTCAATAGGCAGGTTTTACAAGAAAAATACAAACCCCCTATTAGATAACCTGAAGTCCAAACAAGTCAAACAAGCAACATTTGGATTTTGGAGTTAAAACATATATCATAAAATGTTCATCATCATCATAAGGTCGTCAGTCCTAAGACTGGGCAGACACGCACCTCCACTCTTTCCTAATATCCTGAACTAAACTTCGCATTTCCCTGGAACTAGAACATCCCACATCCTTAACTATTTGCGAACAGTAATCTAATCTAGGTCTACCTCTACCTCTCCTAACTCCCATTTCTGCCTCTAATATATCTCTGACTAGACCTTCATGCATGAGAAGGTGTCCTACCAATCTCGCCTATTTCTTATTGATTTTCAGTATTAAGTCCTCTGTTCTCTTATTCTTTCTAATACCTCTTCATTTCTAACCTTCTCCATCCACGATATCCTCAACATTCGTCTGAAACACCACATTTCAAACGCTTCTAATCTTTTTCTATTCCGCCGTGCCCACCGTCCATATTTCGCACCCGTACAGCGCCGCACTTCAAACAAACACCTTTAACAATCTTTTTCGAATTTCTAAATTAGTAATTCGCAAGCACAGAAGTGACTTCTATTTTTTAAAGGCGACTCAACCCTGCGCTATCATCTGCTTTTTCACTCCTTCCGTTCTGACTTATCTGACTTCCTAGATACCTAAAATCAGCCTTTCCTTCCAATCTTTCGTCTCCTATCTTTATATTCGCTTTTTCCCTACTTTTTCTCCCTTGCACACCAGTATTTTCGTTTTACTTTTATTTATTTTCATACAATACTGTTTTCTCAATACAGCTTCCGTTTTATTTAAGGCATTTTCTAACACCTCCTTGCTAGATGCTAATGCTGCTGTAACATCTGTAAATCCAAGCATACTAAACGGAAAACTAAAAGAAGGCGCCAATTTAGGGAGTCAAATAACTAATGAAATACGTCATTAAAACAGTACCTAACATTACTAAATTCACTTCTAATTAAATGCTAAACGTAAAACGCATCGATCATGTTTCCACACGATGAAACATTTGCTTATAAATAATAATGAATTAGTTATTGTATTACTGAACATTTGCGAGGGTGTTGGAATAACACGTTTACTGTCCGATCATGAGACTTGATATTGATTAATGTTGTTTAGTCGTTTTTTTTTTTTCACTGGATAAGCACACTCCCACAATATGCGTTTTAATTTATTAATTAATATTGATCGAGTGTTCTAATAAGAAATTAATTTTTCTGTGTTTTTCCCTGTTCATCAAGTTTAAGTTTTCAAGAGATCGTGTTACATTTTATCCTTCAGGATAATATGTGTAGGATGTCTTAGTAAATTAAGACTTACCCACTTAGCAAAAGTATCCAAATATACTAAACGATTTTTAATTATTTCGACGAAAATCGAAAAATTGAGATTATTTATTAGGCGCTGGAAATACATCAGTTATATAAATTTATTTTGTGAGCACTCTGTATATTAACTGACTTCCTAAATCAATGATTTTGCAATAATTTCTAATTTGTTAAAACGTAAGAACAACTGGACCAACCACAAGATTAATTGTTGTGCATAAAAACCACGGTAAAACCGTACAATTATTTACGGTTTTTACCAATTTGTTTAAACTTTTTCGACGCGATTTCTTGTTGTCTTAGATACAACACAGTATATCTGTAAGTTCTGTGCATTTTTCGGAAATTATTTTTGTGCGAAACATATTTTTTGCCATCTACTCGAATTGTTTTTCTGTATTTTTTTCTTTCCAAGCAAAAGAAAAAAGTACTTATATAATTCACAAAATTCGTGTAACTTTTGTTAGTCGCATTCACAAAGTAGCTACTGTACTAAAATGTTTTGTTATCATGATTTCTAGTTAATGTGATGATTTCACCATCTCGTGGTCAAAAAGCCAGTAAGTACCTCGTACGTTGAAAATAAAGCAATATTGTAGACCTCAGCTAAATAATAATGCAAATTTTTAATGCTTTTAAATCAGTGACGTAATGATAAACTCATAAATATTTAAATTCAACACCAAAACTCTAAACATGCACCATCCCACACGCATAAAATACAGAAAGATGAATAATTATTAGTAGCCCATTGCGCAGCTATACAAGGAATTCTTTGCCATAACGTATGTGAATATAAACAAATACAGAAGAAGAAAATGAATATAATCAAGCAATCGTCTCGTCGTTTCTATTGTTACAATATTACAGTCCTCTACATTAATATCAATTAATCAAGCAGGCATGCGCTGCATTAACTATTGTTATCTATTATCCCAGTTCCTCTGAATGAGAATTGCGTCACATAAGCATTTGAATCCATTAAGATGAATTAGATAATAATTAAACTCTCGTCTCGTTATGACCCTAATAAAGAAATTGCTAGTATCAATTAATTAACGCAAATATGGGAGCAGATGAGTTAAAACAAAAGACTACCTTATAATTATTACAAAAGCACTTTTACTTCTCGTAAATCAAAGCTAAAAAAGAAATGTTTCACGCTTAATACATTTTGGCGTCCCGCAAGGTACCAAATCGGGACCTGTTTTATTCGCTCTTATTCTATCTAGATATTATCTTGAATTTTTTTTCGTTATTTATTTTTTTAGGTGATGTTAATGTGCAGTATTATTTTAATTTAAAACCATCGGACTTAGGCACTTGAACAGTTAACCAAAAACATGGAAGCGGGGTAAGTTTTTTCATGTCAACACACCCGATATATATATAATATATTTCTATAATTATAAATTTTTGTTACAGAGCGAGCTGTCTAAGCCTTCATGCGTAAGTATACTCTATTGAAATCAATTTTTAATTTGACATTAACTTAAATAGATATTTAATAATTGTTCTAAATTGAGTAACAATATAACTCTCGCAACGATGATGATGTATTCGTTATTCACTTATTTATCTGTTGCTAACCCAAGACAAAACATTATTATAACAATTCTTAATAGGTATCCATTAATTGTCGAAGATATTTAATAAACAAAATCAAACAGAATTTGCAGTACGAACATTTTTAGTACACATATTTAATGTTAAATATCTATTTATTTTCGTAGCATTTGTTTTATGAAATTACTTATTCTAAAAGGTCCAATCTCTATTCAAGTAATATTCTAGAATAATCCTTTTTTGCTTTACGTAAAAGTGTTTCCAGATTTGTTCCATGTAAAACGTACTTGAAGCCTCATTATTACTTATTTATAAATAATAATGTGCAAAGTCACTATATACTGATTGTTGTTGAGTGTTTAACACTTTCACTAAGCATATAACATCATGGAATGTAATTAAGTACTCATTGCCTAACACTTTTTCTTCGTCCTTTTTGCAGTTTCAAGAAGGAGAAAGAAAAACACGATAAAAAAATCAATGAAATGATAATAAGTTGTGTGTCGTTAAGCAAATACGAGGGGAAGAATTTTAAAAATTACTACCCTCAGGTAAGTCAACGCAAAACTATATTTTACACACAAAAATTCTGGTTTAATCTAAAATGTGCCTAACAGTCAACGTGGATACCAGGGTTAACAGTTTCCGTTCTAGGTAATAGCTACACTGATTTCTGCATTATTTCACATAGTTGTGGGCATTGGGTTGGCATATTCTGCAGTGTTACTACCCCAACTTGAAAGACCTGATAGCGACTTGATCGTTACACCAAGTGAAAGTTCCTGGATAGGTAGGATATTTACTATTACATATCATCAATTTTGTTTCATCAAAAGCCACTAAGATAGTTTAATTTTCTTACAAAATCGTCCTGTGTTCTCGCAATTTATCAAAAGGATATTAAAATGAATCCAAAACTAAACAAGGAATACGTTGCTATGATACACGGTGTCCAGAAGGAGTAGGGGAATATTTGTAGGTTAGGCATTGTTCGAGTCCTATTCATCAATTCGTTTTACTCAAAATTCAGTTTCTTTTTAACGTCTGCTTTTTTTGGAATAATAGTTTTTTTATGAATCAAAATCTTTTGTTTCGATTTCGAGAAGGGTTTCTTTTGTGCCTATACGTAAAATAGTGTTATGGATGGCACTGTTATAAATCATGAAGTAAAAAGGGTAAACAAATTGGTTATGGTTGACAGCAAGAAGGCTGTCATAAATTCATGTCTTGTAATGTGCAGGTCCATCGAGGACTCAAAGCGATTCATTTTATTGCCCCATAAATGTAAACTTTCACTCGAAACTGGGTCAGATGGTGAAATCTGGGACTNCCAAGTTCAATCATTTGTACCTATGCACAAAGTTAAAAAAAAAAGTTAAGAAATTCAAATAGCTTCAAGTGAAGTGGCTTTTTGCCATCTCCCAATTTTCCACCCTTGGAGACGGAATATTTTTTCAAATTTAAACGATACCATCCTTGAGATAAATATACCATAAAAAAGAGGAATTAAAGTCGTTATAATTAAACAGGCGTCTGCTACAAAAAAAAATGTCACTTCAAAAGTTACTATCCCTAATACAATTTATTAAATATTTACGAAAGCAATATCATTGTAGGTAATCAAATCAATCTCGCCATTCATAAAAAAAAATATTACTCGATGCTATTTAATCAACAACATACTTTTTAACTTTAAAAAACAGTAGTTGTAGTTAAAAAGGTTCAGAATTATATGAACTTTAATGCAGGATCAAAATTATATGGAATTTTAGAAAAGAAATAGAATTATATGGAACCTTAAAAACACAGCATAATTATATGAAGCCCAAAAAAAAAAACATACTCGATGGTATTTAACCAACAACATAGTTTCAAACTTTAAAAGATATAGCAGTTGTAGTTAAAATAACACTTTATGTTTACGATTACGGTAGGTGTTTCTCGACTGGGAGTTTGGCAAGCTCCTGTAACCCAGCTACTTGGGGGTCGGGTTCTGTGGATGGCTTGAGGTCGGGAGTCCTGGGATAGCATTACTCACGTTGACTGGGTGTCCGCACTAAGCTCGGCATCAATATGGACATCTCGGAGGAGTCCGAGATGGCCAGGTTGGCCAAGGAGGGGCGAACCGGGCCAGGAGGGAAACCTAGCAGCCAAAAGTCCCCGTGTCGAGCAGTAGTGGGATCGCGCCCGGGAGTGAGGATGTTATAACAGCCCGATCAAAACAGCTAGACCAAAACCTTTTTTACAACTTTTTTTCAAATTCCTATTACCGAACATCCGCATCAGTTTTCTTAATTTCTCTTAATAATCTTAAACTTTATTAGAATATTTGTAATAACAAACGTATGTTGTCGGTTGCCATCTTGATTTTAACAAGTACAAGGCTACTGTTGTTCAAGTTAGCTGCAGTAGATGGCGACATAAATAAGTCTATAAATAACTCATTCCTTACAGCTTTTTTTTCATAATAATTAATTAAGTAACTTAATAATATTACTNCATTTCCATTTACCTCCTTCTCTATATCCATACAAAATATCTATCAAACATCTAAATGAAACCATTCCATCAGTATTTTCTTATGACGTTGTCACGTTCAACTATCGTCAGTAAACCGACTTTACAGACAACCGATTTTTTTCTTGCATTTACAAAATTAATAATAACTTAAATTACTTTTTAAAAAAAGTTTGCTCTTTGTGTAGTTTGTGGTCAAGTCAAGGAATTTTCGTACTTTAATGCTCAATAATGACAGTGAGTAAGTACGTTATAGGCGTATACATTATAAGCAATTAAACTTTACATTATTATGTTTTCGAACGATAATATGAGAAGCTGTCGACTAAAGTACCGACGCAGTCCGCCGTCGCGACGTCGACGCATGAATTCTACAGGTTTGTTTTTCATGCCGCTCTGCTTTGGTTTTCGTGCGTCCGCCAACTTCGACCGTTTCATTTGTTAAAACAACTGCACACTACGATATCTTAATACGTACACACGGGAATCATCATCAGTTTGTTATACCTATCATGTGTTGCAAAAAAGTGAATAATAATTCAACTGTCGGTTCGATTACAATCGAAATTGCCTTCAACATCTCCGGCTGCTGGTTGAAAACCTCTTGAAATAATTTCGTTGGTTCGTGTCTGTCGTGTCCTCGACTTCAACATTTCACACACATTCAATAAGCTATTTTCATCGTTGTCGGAAAAATAGGTGAGAAGATACGCTTGCGTGATTAGTGTCATTGATTAGAGTTCAAGAACGCAATTTTCGTCTGTCATCGGCGCTATTTTGTTTTACGTGATGCGTATGTATGTATTTTTGTATGTGCATTGTTTTTACTCCGCCGAATAAAAAAGCTGTTTTATCTAGTGGGCGTGTGTGTCAACTACAGTGTTACACTTCACTTACAATTAAACACACACAGACCTTCTGAAACACGTAGTTTTAGGAACATTCTAGAGATGATGTAAATCAAAAATTGAGATTTTTAATGGTTTTGCTGATTTAAATTGTAAACAATTCCAAAGCTTTCGGTTTGAGGCGTGAAAACTTCAATTTCTCCTTTTGTTTTTTTTAAATCTAAGCATTTGACGACTCGGGATAAACAAATTAACATTTAAGCAACAAAATGACCGATCAGATTCTACATCATTCGATTTAGAAATGAAAAAGTTCATCGTAATGTCTTAAAAATATGAAAAACTTATTTTTCCGATAAACAAACAATTTTTAACCGTTCTTTGTCATTTTTTGCAATAAGTGTTCAGGGAAATTGAACCTTTCAGGGTTCAAATTAAAGATTTTGAATTGTCTATAACTTTTATGTAAAGTCTCTTCCAATGGAACCATGATGTTCGGCCATAGAAAGAAAAAAATAGATATCTTTTTTCTAAAAAAAAATAGTCAAAAATCACGAGTAACATTCATATGGGGATGTCTGTCTTCACCCCCCTTTAAAACGTAGTCATAGGTCCCAAGTATACTTAAATTAAAGAGGGTTTTTCCTTACAACCTTTTTGCAACACTGAAACTTCGTTAAAGGTCTAGATGATGACCCCCCCCACTCCCGAAGAGGGTGGGATGGGGAAGGGTCGAAAGAGGAGGTCTCCCCCACCACTGTACCATAAAAAGTTCGTGGCAGTCTCACCCCCGAAGCTAAAAACCTAACCTAAAAAAATTACCAAAAGTCACTAGTCGCACTTATTGGGGTATACCTCCCTTAATTGCCCTTTACAACGTAGTGTAGATCCCAAAAAGTATTATAAAGAGGGTTTTCCCCACAATCTCCACTATAATGTTCACTTCCAAAATTGGCGAAACGTATGTCCACTGAAAATTTTTTATGATCCATACATGCGATCTATAAGTAGATACCTATACAGCACAAGATCATTCACCTATTTAACACAAATTTTCCACTCGAAATTTCTCTTTATAAACATATATCTCTGTAAAATTGCTTGGCTCTAAATTGTACTAAAATTTTTTGTTTTAAAAAGTTTCCGTCTCGGTCTAGACTCAAAAGAATGGTTTAAAGTTATAAAGTACTATAAATGGATTGTACATAGTACATACGTTAGCCATATATAGATTTACATAAAGTACATTTTTATACGCATATATACATGTGCATTTATGTAACTATTCCAAATTAATTTTTTTTACAGCATACTAAACTGCCACTCGCAATTGCTGTGAATATATTTTCATCTGTGTGTCTATTGGAAAATTTATTTTCACGTTTTCGCAGTTGTAGAAGCTCATTCGGTTCGTTTATGTCTTGAACGGTGAATAAAATGATGCTTCTACTAAAATTTTAAGAAAATGTATTCATAAAATTTTCTAAGTAAAAATAAAATTGTGAAAAATAGTGGCAGTGGTGTAAATAATTACATGCAAAAAGTAAGTGAAAGGCTTTGTTATAGATCGAGAAGTTTTTTTACAAGTTTTTCATCATCATTGTAAAACTTTTAAGAGAAACAAACTAACAATATTATCAAAACCAATTGTGTCAAATATGTCCAGTTAATTCTAGAAAATTTTATTTGATTCTAGCAGAAAAAAAAAACTACATAGGACCGAATGTATGTAATAATTCAAAGGATAACAGTTGTAACCAAGATCAATTTTTACGATTGCAAGTACATGCATACATTATTTTGTTATACACAAATAATTTTTACTTTAAAATAGCATCATTTATTTTACAACCCAATAAAAGTTTATTTAATCATCATACTATAAATCAACAAACTTCATTAACTGTCTATTTTTAAGAATTTTAAACTTAATGTCCTCGAAAATCGATTTGGATTAATTTAATCATAAAATGAAAATACTTGGAAGATTTCGCGTCTTAACGTACAATTAACCAACTTCGCAGTAAAATATAAATGTAGGCATGAGATAAGCGAAAAGATGTTAAATTTTAAACGCACAAACCGTATTATTTATAGTAACAATTAAAAAAAAATCACATGTACGTACATACCTATATACATGCATGTATCACGTCATCGTTTAGGAGTAAATATACTGCGTGATATCTACAGATATCAAGAGATTAGTGTTAAATATTTTGTATTAACATTTTTTCCAATTTTGTTTAAACCAAAACTCAAACAAATCAGGTGGTGCCTGGTAGTATAACGTTTTTAATTGTATGTCATAGTGTGAATTTGATTTGACAGAAACAGAAATAGTTTTAAAATCAATTTTACGTATAAATATTTGATGTTACAAACTAATTTTGTATAGGTACCTAGTCAATCAGTGCTGATGAATTAAGAACTTAAAATTAGTTTGTCTTAGTGATTTTTACGAAAACCTTCTACATAGATAGATTTTGTTAATCGATAGGTATTTATTTTAATTCGTTTTTTTTTACGTATCTTTTTGGTCAATATTTTTTCTTTTTTGCTTTGGATTACAACTAAAAATTAATTTTAAAATCATAAGGAAAAAGTCAATCTTCAAATCTTGCTAATTATTGTTAAAAAACTTCATCAAAATGTTTTTAATTTCGTCCATTTTTCTTTTATTGACGAAACTATAACCACCAACGGGAATCTCAAATTAATTCATTTATCTATTTAGTTTGACAAAGCTGATTCTAACTGATACAAATTGTACTAACGTAAGACCCAGTAGCGAGTGATAATAAGAACTAACTGTAACCGTACTGGTGTAACCAACTTCCTGGTTAGATTTTAATCTAGTTGGCTCGCAATGATCTCATACAAAGACATGGTCAGGGTTCTTATCAACATCGCAGGACAATAACCTCTAAAATTAAATGCAACAAATACCTTCTCATTTCTTTGGTAACAATTCCAACGTTAAATTAATAACAGTAACACTGCAAATTGCTACAATTTTTAATTTTATTCGCCAATACCCCCAACAAAACTTTCAATAAAGGGTATCTATGCTATTTAGGCTACACCAGGTATATTTTAATTCTAATTTTCCTTTCTACTCTTGCTATTTGTACTGTCAACGAAGATAAAAGAACATTGAACCTGAACAATTACAGCAATTTGTCAAAAACAAGGCTTTGTTATTAAAGCGTAACCATTACATCGTCTTATCGTTTGTCAATTGTAATGTCGCCATATTGTTTCAGATTGTAACGTAGAGCGGCCATTTTCAAATCAAAATGGAAGTTGGGTAAGTCGCCATATTGAATTTTACGTCATCATTCGTAAATATATTCCTTTGTTTTCCAGAGCGAGTTGTTACAGCTTAGCGGCAACCGAGTGAGTATGAACAAATATGTTAAATATGTATAAAATGCTACGCATTTGTTTATATAATTAATAGAACTGCCGAACAAAGAAGAAAAGATGAAAAAGTAACGGAAATTATTACCAGCTGTACCTCGCTTACTCAGTATGAGCAAAAAGCATCTTTTCATGCCTACTTTCCTCAGGTAAGCATGAACCAAAATTAATGTCCAACAATATACAGGGTGTAACAGAAATAAATGCCGAGCTTGCTGGAGGTGATGGAGCACTATAATAAAACATGAAAATGAAGTAAATGTTTATGTCCGAAAATTCAGTTTTCGAGGAAAACGTAATTGAGTGTGCAGATGAATTCAATTCCGGTCCTGGTGAAGATATACGCCCCGCAACGCTGTACTAAATGTTTTTTCTTTTTGTGTTTGTACATTTACTGCCTGTAATGCTCTTATTTAATTCATTTGGTCAAAATATCATGAATAATGAAATAAATTACTTATGTTTATCTTAGTCTTTTGATAATCGGCAATGTTTTCATTTAACTGCATGGTTTTTATCGTACTACGCTAACTGGTAGACCGTATGTTGTCAATTCACGCACAGGACCGGCTTCGGATTGTAAATTATTGTAATTTTCTTAAAATTTTGACCTTAACCCCCTGCTGAATTCATCATACGATTGTTTATTGCATCTAGTTTACATCCTCCAAGGCTCGGCACTTATCTATGTTACAATCTTTATATATATATCGTATAAGAATATTACATACTGAATACATATAAATTGAGGTTTTATAATGTTTTAAAAGTAGAACTTGTTCTGTTTGTTAAATTAGGTTAGGTAACCATTAGAAAAAGCGCACAGCTTACCACAATGAATGAAACAATGTTCTTCTTAGCCGCCATGTCAGACAAAGGTAAAAGTATAAATTTGTGAGAAGATAGAGATGCCCCAGTTGCAGATTGCTAGTCAAAAAATCGAGAACATCCTAACATTAATTTAATGTTGCCACCACCGCAAGAGGATGTCCTAAAACTGTTTCTTTCTTATAGTTTGCCGAAAATTAAAACATCAATGACTTCGTTCTCGATTTTTCTGGCTTGACCCAATACTTTCTAAAAAAAAACTGAGAATATAAGAAGTTGCAATTTTTAGACATTTTAGAAGATGTAGCCGCACTATCCCCACCCCCAACCCTCCGACCTTCACATCAGTTTTTCTCAGATAAATGTGATTTTTTTAGATTTTGGCCGCCCTTCTGGCAGCTTCGTTTCACGTAGCTGCGGGAATGACTTTAGCTTATTCTGCAGTTCTAATACCTCAACTTGAAGATCCCAAAAGTGACCTTAAGGTCACGCCTGAAGAAAGCACCTGGATAGGTACGCAAAAATTTCCATTTGTAAATAAGTTTTAGGAATTTGAATTGTCATTAATTTGATTTAAAAATAAATTTCAAGGTGTCTTCAGTCATGAAATCTACCAACTAAATAGAATTTTCTTTCAGCAAGTTGTCTAATGCTTATAATGCCAATTGGTAATGTCAGCGGTGGTCTAATAATGGAAAAAATTGGTCGGCTAAATACCCTAAAATTAGCCGCCCTTCCTACATGTTTGGGCTACGTCTTGATAGCCACTGCTAAAAATATTCCCATGCTGCTAGTAGGGAGGCTACTTACTGGATTTTCAAGTGGTGAATATCCACTAGTGACAATAATTTCCAATATGTTAACAAACGGTGCATTTTCTTTTGAAATACACAATTTTTTTAGCATGGGGTGCTAATCCAGCTATGGTTTTCATAACTGAAATTGCAAGTCCCCAAGTTCGAGGAATTCTCATATCAATCGCCCAAACATTTGCTGCATTAGGTTGGCAAAAATTTAATATTTTCATAAATAATAAACCAATTTCAAAATTACGTTTATATCAGGCATGGTCCTGGCATATCTCTTTGGCTGGATCCTGGACTGGAGAATAGTAGCCTGGATAGCCAATACATTTCCAATTTTGGCCGGACTCTCCCTAATCATCGTTCCTGAGAGTCCAGCGTGGCTGGTTAGCAAAGATCGACAGGATGCAGCAAGGAAGTCTCTAGAGTGGTACTACAAAAACTTCCCCCAACCCGAAAACAGGGTTTGAAAAACTCATTGGCCCAAAAAACGTGTTCTTTATTACCAATGTTTTCAGAAGTCCACCCTGGCACAAATGCAACTGGACCTTTTAGTTAAGGACAACGAACAAAAGAAAGCGGAAAGGAAAAACGAAAAAGAAAGCACATTTAGAAAGTTCGTCCGGGGATTCGTGAAACCTACAGGATACAAACCATTCCTAATCATGTTTGGAATATTTTTTGTGCAACAATTCACTGGCATCTACATCACACTGTTTTACACAGTCAATTTTGTAGAGGTATCACCATTACTAGAATGCAATCAATAAAACTTGGTTCCACCAATAAAATTATGATAAAAAAAAATGTTGTAGGATATTGGGAGCGATATTAATCCGTATGGTCTGTCGGTTTTCATAGGCGTTATACGTTTTATAATGTCAGGTTTAGGGGCCATTACGATCAAAAAATGTACTAGACGAGGATTACTCATTTGGAGTACTTTAGGAATGGCAGTGTGCATTGGGATATCTGGTCTATTTACCTCCTTTATCACCAACGGTAGGTTACACCATTATCATTATCATCATAAGGTCATCAGTCCTAAGACTGGTTTGACACGTACCTCCACTCTTTGTTATCCTGAGCTAAACTTCGCATTTCCCTAAAACTAGAACAGCCCACATCCTTAACTATTTGTGAACAGTAATCTAATCTAGGTCTACCTCTACCGCTCCTAACTCCTGTTTCTGCCTCTAATATGTCTCTGACTAGACCTTCATCCTGAGAAGGTGCCCTAAGCTATCTCTAAGTCCTCCTTGCTAGATGCTAATACTGCTATAAGGTATACTTCGTTTAGTTTCTGTAGCGATGTGACCTTCAGTTTGACCGGCGCAAAGTAGAAAAGAACAGCACTAGGCCAGAAAAGGAAGGAGACAACTCTCAACCGGTGAGGAGCGTATAATCCGTACAGTACTGCACGGAAAAATTGACCATTTTATCCACTACAATTGCATTGCTCAAATGTGCTGTTATTGGTACCATTTACTACTGAAAATATCAACGAGATGTTTATTTATATTTGAAGACATATTAAAGGCTTTAACGCTTGTTTTCGACTCGCACTACTATTCATGATTGAACAAAACTTTTGGCAGGTACTGTATGAAAAAGTATGTTTAATGAACAA